TGTGAGAGTGGATGTGAGAGTGGATGTGAGAGTGGCCCAGGGACCTGGCACCCAAGTCGAGGGCGCTGACAAAAACCCATACGTCACGGGACTGGGCAGCGGTGGAGCACCCCCCAGCGAGAGGGCAGAGGGGTAGTATCCCTTCTGCGCATGCGCAGGGCGAGGCTTGACCGGTTCCGAGTCAAGTGGAGGGGGTAGCCAGAGCCGGAGACCTAGGGAGCTCCTCGGAGCTGGGCCCTGGAATTATTTCTTGGAGAGACTGGCGATCGAGCGGGACTTGTCCGCTCCTCATCCCATCAACCCAGAGTCAAAGCTGTATGAACTGTGTGTGCCCCTTGTAGCGATCAGCATTAGACATTGCATCTCACATCACTTTTGGTTCTCTTCTTGTCTACGCCTCTTCCCGTGTCTATCCCGTTTGTGTCTGCACTGCCGTTGCGACGAGTGTCAGCTCTGCACTTGCGACGCCCTGCGTCTGCATTGCTCTAGCGACGCCATCGTTTGCACAGCAGTCGCGACGCGTGTCGGCACTTGCTCTTGCGACGCCTTGCGTCTGCACTAGCACTTGCGACGCTCTACCCCCCCTGAGCTACGCCATCTCACAGTTACATACCCTCGGGACAATGAAAGTAACCTCCAATTTTGCCGGGAGTCTTTAGACAGCATTTTAGCGCTGAAATCAAGAATTTCAAAAAATAGTGATAGTGCCGTGCCAAATGCTTTGGCGTGGCTCTGCCAAATTAATCTTTGCTGGCACCTGCAGGCCGGAGCAATGCATAGAACTCATTAACTTGGCTTTGATAATAGAAATCAATGTAACTCCTTCCTTTTCAAATACACCCATTAAAGTGTAAATTCAATCTGCAGAAATAATTAGAAAACAGAAGTTTTGATGAATTATGTTGACTTAAAATTTATGAATGCCTCCTGTTGTAATCCAGCAGGAAGTCCTTTATCATTATACTAGCTGTTCCAGGCTCGCTACAGCAAGCTAAAGGGCTATTGTCTTGTGGACCCCATTTTCATGTGTGTCTGCGCTTTCTACGTGACTGGCTTCACTTTGGCCAAAATTTATGAATAGAGAAAGAAGAAAAAAAGATGTAAATCAAAGAAAAAGATACAATATAGGGAAGCAATAAAATAAGAAAACAAGAAATGAACGATAGAGAAGACATAAAAGAGAAAATAAATTCGAATGACAACTGTGGCACCGTGTAAGAGACTCCTAGTACAAAACGGGAATCTATGGAATTTTCGATTGTATTGGTATGACAACTAACGATCATTTTACATGCTTGGATAATGCATTGTTGCCAAAGTGGGGATCAGTGCGCTCGTTTTTCCCACGACTTTTTAAGAAGAACCCTCGGTGGGTGGCAATGTTGAGGTGCTGAAGGCAATCCGGCGTAATATTATGTCTATAAGATGCATAGTAATTGTATTCTCATAGTTGAGCCTGTTGTGATACTGCATTTTTTAAGCCAAGAATGATGACATTAAATTGCAGAACATTTAATTTTAGCAGGAGAAAAGGTTGCCTTTGATTATTCCTATTTATTATGGATTTATCTGGAGGTATTCTACCCTAGATCCTGTTCTCGGATATGGGAGTTCCAATTCTCTTTTTAAATTCACTAAAACTTATATTTGCTAAAGAGTAGATTTTTCTCCTTTTTTGTAACCTCTGTTTTGTTTTCCAGGGCTCAAGTAACCATACTCCAAAGCGATCTATGCCGAAAAGTGTTAGTTACCAGGCTAAGAAAGATGAAATTTGCAGCCAAACTCCTCAAGTTAAAGGGGAAGGAACCTCAGCAGCAAGGCAAATACGTTTTAGTCTGCCAAATGACAGCATTGAAGAGTTTGAGTGTCCTAAAATCTCAAGCCCTCGTGAAATGGACATAAGCCAAGGAAGTGATGATAGCAAGGCTAGGATAAATGAATATGCTGAAGTGAACAGAAACAAGCGTCAACTGAAAGAGGATGTTACATCTGCAGTGGCAGCAGTGCTAGAGTCTGGTGATGCTGATGTCACTCCATCCTTAACCAGGTGCAATTTAGCAATACCTATCATTTTGAAATTAAAGTATCGTTGGAAAGATCACAAAAACGAATTTTTTTGACGCCAACCGCAGGTCGTTATTACTCATCACCTTTTCAAAATGACTGCCTGTTGAAGTTCCAAAAGGCAGCAAAATGATGTCTCGACTGTTCAATGACCGATTTCACTGAGACTAAGTATTAGTGGTATTATTTACTATCAACTCATGAAAAACTCAAAGAAAAATAATAGAAACTTCGAAAGAATGGCAACCCTGCGGTTATTCCAACCATAGGGCTATTCGCTTGGACAACAGGGGTAACCTTTAATATGGACCAGAGCCCAGAAATTGTGCATTGAATAAATGAAGACCCTCCAGAGGAGTCATCTTAAGTGCTAATGTGGCAGGCAATGTGTTCATTAATTGGACAAAGTTTCTTGGCATTTTTTCTCCAACTTATTGTTTTTGTTTACTTTATTTTTATAGGTATCATCAAGTACCGCAGTCCATTCAAATTACCCCAAGGAAACCATTGAAAGCCTATCGACCTTCGCCCAAAGATCATGGAATCCTGTCAAACTCCGTGTAAGTTACTTTACTATTGCATGAGCTGTTGAGCCATTAACTGAGCTTTTTAAATGCTCAATACATTAATTTTGTGGCGCTCTCATGAAAATTCAAAAGAAAATTTTATGAATAGGCAAGAATCTTGTGAAATGAAAAGTGAGGCAGGAAAGAGGGTCATGCAAAACGGTTAAAAAGTGATTCTGCGGGGATTGCACGAAAGAGGCAGTCCCATTTTCCATAGGAAATGGCCGCAAGAGATTTTACATCCATACTTTCAGGAATCATAACCGATCATCGGAAAGGCCTAAATCCTGTGTCGTTACCCGTCTAGCCCTCCAAGGGGCGAGGGTGTCAAAGGTCAAACGCGCAGACCGCCATAACTTTTGAACGAAACAACGGATCAACTTGATCTTGGGCTCAAATGAAAGCTCTCAACAACACCTTTCATTTTATGAATAATAATGTCTGTTTTTGTAATTTTTCAATGTGAAAAAAATCATTGTTTGATTTTTCAAGCCCAAAAAATTCAGTTTTTCGGGTTTTTACACAAAAAGGAACGCACGAATCATTACAAAAACCAATTTAAATGAAAGCCCTTGATTCAAGCTTTAAAACGAGCTATTGTTCAACTTGGGGAAATGTACGGTTCAAAAGTAATGACCGTTCAAAGTTGGCGTGGCGCGCATTTTTGAAGCGCGCGGAGTGCATACTCGCGTTTCACCCCTCCCTACCTTTTCCCCTGGAGCCCGCTTCAGCTGATTACGGATACTGAAAGGTCCAAAGCTCCTTCCACCAAAAGAATGACCAATCATCAGTGTAAAATGACTTTTATTTCTAACTAAGACGCTAGCATACATTATTTTTTCGCCCCCCCCCCCCCCATGTTTTTATATTTATTAGCCAAAAGCTCTTGCGGCCATTTCCTATGGAAAATGGGACAACCTCTTTAAAATTTCACCATGGCGGCAGCCATCTTGGACGCCATCTTGAATTATGGGCGTCGGTTCAATTTTTGAACTTGACACCATCAAAATTCTGATTCTCGACATCCTAAAGAAGAGAATGATTTATCACAACAATTTTACCCATGAAACTGCACACGGGACCTCTTATTTGTACATGTGGTACTGGACTAAAACCTCCAAAGCCCTGCCACTCCAGTGAATTAAGCGACAATTTTAATTTTTTGCTATTTTCAGTTTGGTGACATTTTCAATGAAAGGTATGATTCAAGTTCCAATTCGGAACTGTGGTCGGTGGCTCAGCCCCGTCATTTCATTGTCTAAAAGACCAAAATCGATACTAGCCTTTCAATATACACGAATATACACAGGATGGCGGCCATAATGACCCTTTCAAGGTAAAAAAATACCTACGTCGCAAATATGCCTCGTAATGTGTCGATTGTTATGTATTTCTGGTCATAGAATACGAATCTGCGGTCAAATATTGTCATAAATATTGGAGTGTGGTCTCAATCCAATATTGCGGCCAAACTGCCCTTTCAGGATAAGGAAAGATTCTGTTGCAAGTATGCTGCTTAAGGTGCAATTGATACCTTAAGCAGCACACATGCAACAGATTGTTGCACATGTATTTTTGGTTGTAGAAGTCGAATTTACAGTCAGAAATTGTCCAAAACATCAAGATATAGCCTAAATCCAATATGGCGGCAAAATAACGCTTTCAGGATAAAAATAATTTTCCTTGCAAATATGCCGCTTAAAGTCTTGACATATGCGTACATTTGGTCGTAGATTCCAAATTTGCGATCAGAAATCATGCAAAACATCAGGATAAGGCCTAAATCGAATATGGCAACTGAAATTACTGTTCAGGGTGGAGCATAATACTATGTAGCTTTAGGTGCATGAAAAAGCAAAGTTTTCAGGGTTGCAAGGTTTGAAAGCGCGGCAAATTTTTAGTTCAAATTATTAAGAAATTCATATGTGATACGTGGCAGTTTGAGCAATGCTCACATAAATTTTTCAAAATTTGTGGAAATTTCCGAGGTTTTGGAACAAGAGAATAACTTCTCTCAAAATTAAGGCGCTCAGAGGTCCAAGCTTGATGATATCTTGTGTAAAATTTTGTGAAAAACATTTTTTGTCCTTGAAAATTTTGCGTATCTGTGAAAATTTTCGAGTGAATCGTTGATTTTCGTGAGCAACTCCGGACCCCTCGATTTGGGACATGTCGGCCGTTTTGAATATGATGCCCCGGTATATGAATATTTTGATTGCCAGATAAAAGTGTCCTAGGGACCTTAGAAGATACCCTGAAAGTTCCAGAGTGGCACGCAAAAGTGACTTTGCGGCTCATAGACTAAATGCACAATTTTGTTTGTTCTCCCTCTTTGTGAACTAACTAACTTTGTCTCTTCCCAGGAATTTCAAAATGTCCAACCAAAATACTTCTGTGCCTGAACAGGAGGATGACTCAAATGCTGTGTCCAATATCAAGGAATCAGTCAAAAAATTCATTTCGGAACCATTTAATCATCCAACACTGCAAAGCGGACTCTCAGTGAGCCTCTCATCAGCATCTGACTCCTCTCCACTGAGAAAACCGAATCATCATCCAATCAATGATTTACAGCCGCCTTTGATAGATAATAATCACCCGAAAGAACTAGATCAGTCAGTTCCTCCTTTCATAGAATCAATCAAGGATGGAGGTAATCTGCTTTTTCCAATATGTTTTTTCGATTTTTATCATGAATTTATTTGCATGTCAATTATACAGATATTCTCTCTCAATAATTTCTAATACATAGGCTGTCCCAAAACAACTGGCACTAAGGCTGTCATTCGGGAACTACAATAGATATCAATATGCGATTTGCAGGAGGTGATAGCTCATACTCTTAGCTCTTAAACGAGCCTAAGTTGAGCTAGTTTGGTTAAAAACTAAACGAGTTACATCAATTTTCCCGAGACGTGTAAGAAATACCCCTACGGATTTTTCGGTAATTTTTCATTCCGTTAACTTTGCCTCCGCAAGCTGTGCAATTGGTTCAGACGTTATGAATCAAGTTCCCACTTGTCTGGATGCAACTTTGAACTGGTCAGCAAGTGTTTTCATCACAGCCGAGAAGTTTTTTTCTGTTTGCAAAGTCAGTCTAGTGAAATTGTCCGGCCTGATAAGGCGTTTTTTGGTGTTTCGTCATGAGTTCACCCGCGGAGTTGAAGCAAGACCAGCGATACGCAATTCGATATTGCGTTCGTCGTGAATTATCTGTCTCTGAAACTGTGAATAAAATGACAGTGGCTCAGAAGTGTTTCAGAAGCAGATAATTCACGACGAACGCAATATCGAATTGCGTATCGTTTGTCTTGCTTCGACTCCGCGGGTGAACTCATGACGAAACACCAAAAAACGCCTTATCAGGCCGGACAATTTCACTAGACTGACTTTGCAAACAGAAAAAAACTTCTCGGCTGTGATGAAAACACTTGCTGACCAGTTCAAAGTTGCATCCAGACAAGTGGGAACTTGATTCATAACGTCTGAACCAATTGCACAGCTTGCGGAGGCAAAGTTAACGGAATGAAAAATTACCGAAAAATCCGTAGGGGTATTTCTTACACGTCTCGGAAAAATTGATGTAACTCGAGTTTCGTTGAGTTTTTAACCAAACTAGCTCAACTTAGGCTCGTTTAAGAGCTAAGAGTATGAGCTATCACCTCCTGCAAATCGCATATCGATAGCTATTGTAGTTTCCGAATGGCAGCCTTAGTGCCAGTTGTTTTGGGACAGCCTATGTATATCATTTGTATTTCCATTATGTAGTTCCCTGGAACTTCACTCCATTTTTGCAACAGCAGATTTCTTCGGTCTGCAGCCTGATTGTTGAAAATGTTTGTTTGTCGGGACGACATAGATGAAATAGGTTAAAAGGCAAAGCGTGATTGGTCGGCTATGTATTATCGCTGCTTTGTCGTGTCTATGTCGGGTTGACCTCTCAACAAGCTAACGGGACCTCTCGACAAGCTAACGGGACCTCTTAAGTCTCCGACAGTATGTCGACCATTCCACTTGACAAAGGCACGACAAAGCAGCGATAAGACATAACCGACCAATCACGCTCCGCCTTTTAACCTTTGTCATCTTTGTCGTCCCGACAAACAAAAAATGTCAACAATCAGGCTGCTGTTCTCCCATATATTCCTTGAAATGATTGACATTCCTTAAGTTTCTTGATAATTTTGCTCATGACTCATGGCTTCGTTTATTATAAATTTTTTGGTCTTTCCTACGCTCCATTTTTTTATTATTTCTGTATTTTCTTCCCTTCTTCTTGAAAAATCTATTTTGGGATATATTTAAAAAAAAATATTGATTACATTTATGGATGGGCTGAAAAGTCATTACAAACCTTGCTGTCGCGTCTTCAAAAATCTTGAAGACCTTTGTGTCTGGAGAATGTAAGTATTATATATAACCAGTCTTCCATCGGTGTGTTCCGACTAATTCGAATTGATTGAAAATTATATTAGACTGAGAGAGTTGTCTAACTGGCCAACCCTTTAAGTTGACTTTTTTAGAACATTTTCGTATTTACAAGGAATGTGGCCTGAATTTGTACATTTCACCAACAACAAAAAAGGTTTGGTTGGGAGCACAGATTGGAATAGTCAAAAAGCAGTGGTTGAAGCAGGTTTTAAAGAACCTTTTCAACCTTTTAGAGATTTCAGCTTTGATTCAGTCTGGATTCATCATTCAAGGTTCACTTGGGGAGGAATGTTTAAATGGATCCTATTTGGTAAGCTTCTGGTGATATCCCTTGATCCGAAGTGTGAATAAACTAGCTTGTGAGTCAAAGTATCGTTTTCCTTTAAATGGCTGTCTGTTGAGTTAGGTAGCCCATAAAACTTGTATACATACATATATGATATCAAATCATTGGCACAATCTTTTCCTTGGCCTTCATAGAGAACAGAACAACATGGTACTTACATGGCTTGTCTCAGATCTCTTGGCCTATTTCTGCATCCCATCAGTGCTTATTTCGTTTAGTGCTACCCTCATTACAGATTCTGAAGGCCTTGCTGGCAGCTATTGGACTCATATTTCAATTATAGACTTCCGAATTCTCATATCTAATTAGATACACAAAGTTGTTTATTACCTATTCTATATCTGGTTGTTTAATCTCTGGATAAAAATTTATCAGCTGGCCTATAAATGATTGATTAATTCCCAGTGAGCCTGTTGCAAAGTTTTGCTAGAGAAAAAATGAGAGAGGTTTCTTACAGAAAATGTCTCGAAAATCATGATAAGCGCATCCGCAAATTCTAAAATGAACCGCTAACTTCGCAATCTACGTAAGAAATATGCGGTTTTTTTTAGCTTCCCGCTCCAAAAACAATACTGCGGTACAGGTGGACATTTTGTTAGAGGAGTCGTTCCATTCAACTCCTGCTCAATAGGATGTTTCGCAATATTCATCATGGCCGACGCTTCCGTGCGCAAGTCGAGGAGAGCACAAGGTCAATCAAGACGGATATCTCTTAACAGTCTCAATGCGAGGAAAGTGTGAATGTAAACTTACCTATTGTTATCAGGTGGTTAAAATCTCGTCCCTTCCCACGTCTTTTGGTGGATTGGCGTCTGCCATGTTGAGTATTGAGTAAGATTCTATTGAGGAAGAGTTAGATGGAACGGCTCCTCCAACAAAATGTTCACTAGTGCCGTAGTATCGTTTTTGATGTGGCTAGATAAAAAAAGAACTGCAAATTTCTAGCACAGATTGTGAAGTTGGGAGTGCATTTCAGACTTTACCAAGACTTGCACTCATCGTGATTTTTGAGACATTTTCTATGAGGAAAAACTCGAATTTTTGCTCTAGCAAAAGTTTGCATCAGGCCCATTGAGTCATCTATCCGTCGGGATAGGATTTTGAAAGCATTTAACTTACATCCTTAGACGAAATCCAAAGGAAACATCCGTTGAGAAGCTAATCCCTCCTGCGCTTAACTGACTCATTCTGTCCAGGGAAATGCTCATTTGAAATTACATTATTTATTTCCTCCGAAAATTCCACTTTGAAACATGTTTCATCCTTCAGTTACTTTGAATAAAATTAAGATCATTCACTGATAATACTGTTTCCTATTTTCAGGATCACATTCCTCACCTAAAACTGATAAGAATATGAGTGATTTAAATCAAACATCCATCAGGGCTCAGACGAAAAATACTGAAAAAAAGGAGGAGGTCAATGTAATATCAACTACATCAACCACAGATTTCAAACAATCAAATTCAAGCATTAGTGTTGGAAAAATAGAGCAAATGGCTGTCGATGAACTTTTAGAGTGGAGGTCCTCTATCAATACAGAGCCAAGCCATGTTCCTTCTAGAATTATTTCTACTGCTAATACCACCCCTGAAACCGAATCAGGCGCTTCATCAGAATGTACTCCTACCCCTGCAGATAATGTCTCTTGTGACATTCCGTTGGCTAAGGTGAAAACTTTTACTAAAAGTGTCCCAATTACAAATGCATCTGAAGGAAGTATCAAAAGCAACTCACCAAAAGAAGTTGCTTCCGAGATCCATCTTGACACTTCATCACAAAATGCCGTGTCAAAGGACACTCAACCCTATGAATGCAGCGAACAGGATGATGATATCATCTGCCTTGACTCCTCTGGTGGTGAAACCCCCGAAAAAGAGAGTATGTACTCTTCTTCAGAACTTGATGATTATGAGGCTGTCAGTGAATCATCGTATTCATCAAGTTCAAGGTCCCAGATCATGGAATCTGCCGACTCCACGAACACAAGTCCAGTTCAAAACAATGTCCTTGCAACTTTGATTAATTTACAACCTCTGAACTCTACTTACATCAAAGAAAATTTCGATGAAGATGGAAGGGAGAGTAGGAATAATAATGAGGAAGAAAACAACGAAAAAGAGTACAACTCCAGTCATTTTGATGAGGAGGATTCTTATGAAGAGGAATTGTCCAGAGGAAAATCTATTGAAGAAGACACCAATGAAGAGAGTGAAGAAATTGATGAAAGTAATGAGCAGCTGAAGGAGTTTGATCCATCTCAAAGTTGCCGCAGCAAGTTTGGTGATAAAGGCATCAAAGACCATTGCATTGCTCGCACCAAAAATTCACAAGAAAACCAGGAGTCTGAAGGCATTTGCCGTCCTGTTAATCATCACCCAACCGCTGAAGACTCTAACTCACACAAAGTAACAAACCGACAAATAACAGCTGAGAACGTTGCCACCATCACCAAAGAGCAACAAAAACAGAAAGAAGCAGAACTAATTGAAACCAGTCAATGGACCAACTCAAATTTGTGCTCAGATTATAACTCCTTCGCTGCAAAACAGTCTTCAGCAATAATTTGTTCAACTCCTGGACAGAGCAACAAAAGGAAGCAATCCGAGGTTCAAGATGTTCACAAAGATGACGGTTCCTCTGTTCTCTTAGCCGTAGCCTCTACCAAAGACACACTGCCCCGTGGTGGATACCCTAGTTCGTCGGATACTGCTCAGGCTACAGTCATCGAAAATCTCCCTTCCGATATCACGCAAAAATTCTTCGAGAATCCTGTCCGAATGATCCCCAGAAGCAACAGCAAAGAGCGTGACACTCTGAAAGAAAGAGACGAAAGCCAATTAAACTTTACCGTTAGTGATAATGAAGTCACTCTAGGGTCCAGTCGAAAATGCTGCTGGACTGAAAGCGACACAGAGACATCGATGAAGGAACGAACATGGATGTTTGAGAATAAAATGCATGATCCTGGTGATGATGCAGATGTTATGCATACAGGTGTTAACAAGACCCAAGATGATGATTCTGTCATACAAAGCACTAAGAATGGTGCAAATGCTTGTTATAATGATACTTCTATAATGAAAGATGGCTCACAAATTGTTGATGGTGTAAAGCAGGCTGAAAAAGTAGATTATGTGGAGCACAAGGAAGATGTAAATAGTGTAATGCCCTCTTTTATTTTTGGGAATTTGAAGGATGTATCCTTGATTCAAGCACCCAAAAAAAGTGTGCGGAAGGAGTCTCCTCAATCACTCAATGAAGGTGTGCCTGAAGAGGTTCCAGCAACTGCAAGTGTCCCTGTAACAGATGAAAATTATGTTACAGAGAGTGTTTCAGGAGAAACACAGTTTCTAGCTGTATTGAATTCATCGAGTAAAACTGAGATTTTGGATGCAGAGCAACTAGTGTTTGAAACTCCAAAATCAATGAAAAAAAACGAAATACTACAAAGCGCAAAGAAAGATGAATCTTTGAGCGATTCTGAGCTCATTATAGATGCAATGAAAAGGAAAAGTCGTGTAAACGTTGAGTCTGAAGCACCACAATCTCTAAAAAAAAAGCAACACTATCAGTCTGACAGCGAACTGAGCGTCAGCCACGCCCTAAACCGATGTGTCCCTGATAAAGTCTTGCTACAGGCTGTTATGAAATCACAGCTGTTGCGATCATCAGGCTCAAGCACTGGAGCAAATTCCAGTTTCTCTCAGTCTGGCCATCAGGAGACTTATTGTGGTGACGATTCTAATAGTGCCCCAGGCTCTGCAGCTAAAGTCTCTGATAGTTCAAGCAGCTCTACAATTAATCATCGAGCAAGTCATGCTGCATTTGAGTCGTCAGGAGAAGCATCTCCTTTGACCCCTGCTGAAACATGCAGAACTGAAGCATTTAAAGAGAATCGCCGTTTTGCAGTAGAAAAACGAAAATCTAAGTTGACAACAGTGCCCTCTCTTGAACTAATCTCAGAAGTACCTGAGACACACCCTGCTGACTGTTTACATGAGCTTACCCAAGATACAAACAGGAGAGTCTCTGAACAACTCGAATTGGAGTCTAGTCAATCTGTCAGACGCAGTTCATTTTTACCAAAAGTGTTCACAACTGTCGATTCTCTTATTCAGGATGAAGCAATGTCAAATACCAATATTCCACCTAAAAAAAGGCGCAGTATTCTTAACTTATCGAAGCTGAAAAAGCCAAGGGAAAGCGCATCATTCAAGTCTCGGTCGCGGTGTTCAAATTATAAGTTCGCTGAGTTGGATGTTTGTAATTCAGATGAGTCATTCCAAGAAGATTTAATTACTGATAGGACTAAACAAAAAGCGGCTAACATTCCAGACACTCATTTACCTGAAACCCCAATCAAAACTGCTGAGACTGTCCATCCTTCAGAGTTAAATGAAAGTGCTACAGAAGAAAAACTCAACGACTCTATTGCCTCAAGAGTAAGTCAACGTCGAACGAGACGTCAATCCATGGAAAGTTATACCTCCAGTACTGATTTTGAAGTGTCAAACTTAAATGAAAGCATTGTCAGCACAGCAAACTCTGTTAAGGCAAGATCATCATCTATTGAGAGTCTTCCAGAATCAGGAACGACTGATGTGTCTGTAAGCTCACAAAGCTCTCGCTTTAAGAGAGTTTCTATCCGAAATCGCTCAATGTCGCTCTACACTACTAAAGAATTGCAGAAAAACTCACTTAAACGTCGTTATAGTGAATTAGATGTAATAGAGTCAGAAGAGGAAGATGGTCTAAAGGATTCAAGCCCAGCAGCCGAAACCACTGGTGAACTTCTCATTATTACTCGTAGAGCGCGAAGCAGGAACTCCAATCAGAGTGCAATTTCAGAAAGTAGGAAGTTTTTGCCTGATGTCAAAGGGGATGAATTGGCAGTGGAAAAGCCTGGATCAAGAATTTCAAAAGCAAGAAGTAAGAAGGGAGTGAATAGCACACAAAGCAATAGAAATGAGTTCATCAGAGGCTCAACAGAATCCAAACAGCAGGCAAGTCGTCCCACCATGCGCACTGAAACATCCATCAGCAATGTAAGAACTCAGGTTCGTTTTGCTTTTATTTTTCTTTAAAGAACAAAGGAGGCAAGACCTACCAGTGGGTATGTGTTCATCCAGGCACGGCTCATAGCACCATGCTACAAAAATTGTTGCATTTAGATACAGATTCTCAGTGCTGTGTGGCTAAATGAATTAAGAAAAATGAGTACAGCAAAATGAAAAAATAAAAAATAAATAAAAAATGCATCATGCCACGCAACGAAAACGATTGCAGTCAGTCACAGTGAAATAAAGCCACATTCTGAAATCGCCATCAGTTGGCAGACATAAGTTGATGATCATATAGTCATTGTAAAAGTGACATCAAGAATCAGCATTACGCAGAGGACTCCCACTACAAAAGGTAAAAGCTCATTAAGGGCACAATTTCCCCTCGGGAGTTATGCTCCTTGAGGCAACACAGGTTACATCCAATCAGAAAGCAAATTCAGATGCGTTTTGAGTCTCATTGAACCCATCATCAGCACATTACAGCTTTCTCATTTTCTGTTTCCACTTGTGAGAGGGCATTGAAATCCAACCGAGATGGAGTAAGCATACCAGCCTACCAGCTCGCTGTCCAGTGTGCAATTCTCGAAACAGAAATGCACACGGCTTGGAAAGCTGTAGCTGCAACGTACAAAAGCAGCAAGATGGCGTGCTCGTTCGATGGCTGTTGTGTCCACTTGCTCAATCTTGATTTCATTTTTAAGACTTCTCCATGACAAGAAGCAGAAATTCATCGGCGCTTTGCTGATAATAGGTTTAACTAAACTCAAAACGCATTTACAATTCCTTTCTCATTGCACAACTAGTGTAGTGACCAAACAGCGTAACTTAAGACAGGTAAACGTGCTCTCATTGGGTTTTTGCCCTCTACCATGAAAGTACATTTCTTAATGCAGAATCATGACTATATTCAGGCAAGAAAAAAAATTCAGTATATTTAAAGGAATGGACAATTGCTGAGCAATCCATATGAATTATTAAAAATCCAACCGAAGAAGCAGAAATTCATCGGCGCTTTGCTGATAATAGGTTTAACTAAACTCAAAACGCATTTACAATTCCTTTCTCATTGCAGTCTGTGACTGACTGCAATCGTTTTCGTTGCGTGGCATGATGCCTTTTTTATTTATTTTTTATTTTTTCATTTTGCTGTACTCTTTTTTCTTGTTTCATTGAGCCACACAGCACTGAGAATCTGTAGCTAAATGCAACAATTTTTGTACCATGGAGCTATGAGCCATGCCTGGATGAACAGATACCCACTATTTTTGACTTTGACGTAAATTCGGGTGGTCCAGATGTTGCCGAAAAAATTCAGGAAAATTCAGGAGTTCTTTTTAGACCATTACGCCTTTTTCGTGGTTCGTCCGTTTTCGAAAGGAAAAAAAGCCCTAAAACGCTCCAACCTATTCTCACTTCAGCACCGAACGCATTTTTCAAAGTTCTTTTTGCCATTCTTATTTTTCTTGCTTCATTTAGCCACATACCACTGAGAATCTGTAGTTAAATGCAACAATTTTTTTAGCATGGTGCTATGAGCCGTGCCTGGATGAACACATACCCACTGTTTATGATTTTGACGTAAATTCGGGTGGTCCAGATGTTGACGAAAAAATTCAGGAAAATTCAGAAGTTCTTTTTAAACCATTACGCCCCTTTCGTGGTACGTCCGTTTTCAAAAGGAAAAAAGCCCTAAAACGCTCCAACCTATTCTCACTCAACCACCAAACGCATTTTTTGAAGTTTTGGTGTCTGGAGGATGTCTCTTGATCACAAAGTAATTTCAATTGCATAGCTTGCCCTAAATCAAGTGTAGGGAAAGAACAAAGAATGACAATTTGGAGAAACAGATATTAACTCCCTCTTTGTCTTGCTAATCAAATTTTCTGATTAACCCAGTTTACCAATTTATCCCAATTAACCTTTTTTCCCCCATTTTATTCCAATTTTTCCAATTGCACCGCTTCCTATTCCACTTAATTCCTATCTATCTTGATTCATCCCGATTAATCACGATTTATCACTTCTGTCCTGATCTATCCAGTTTTTCTGGTGTATCTTGTTTCATCCTGATTTACTTTAATCCATGGCAGAACTCATGCGTTCATCCTGACTTACCTTGATCCATCTCGTTTTGTCCTGAGCTGTCACGGTTTCTTCCTATTAACTCCAGTTTATCCAGTTTTATTTCATATCATTCAGATACATCCTCTTTTACCCAAATCCATTATGTTTCACCTAGATGTACCGCGTATTTTTATGACTAATCCCTATCTATTCGATTTTAATGAGATCCATCCAGATTTACCATCATTATACAGGGTGTTTCAGACCACCCGTACCAGGCCTTTTTCTCGGATGGTATAGGTAGTACGAAGTCGGAGACCGCGGGGATGAATAGGGAATTGACCCCAAGGAATCCGAATTTCGTGGTCCCGAAACCTCCCCACCCTCCCTTGGGGGGTAAAGGGGGGGTCACGATGCTAAAAGTCACTGCTTCCGACCGAATTGCGGATAGATCGCATCAGAATTGAAAAGCACGGAAAATTTCACGTGGAATCAACCCCTAAAAATCCAAAATCGGACCATCCAAGGCCCAAAAATGACCCCCTAAAGAGGGGGGCAGTACCCTCCTCCATAATTTCTCTTTGGTCTCCAAATTGACGTAGATTCTCCAGAAAAAGACAGTTTCCCAGGTAATCGACCACGAAAAATCCAAATTTCATGGTCCCGAAGCTCCTCTAGCCCCCCTTGGGGAGTAAACGGGGGGCCCAATTTTAAAAATCGGGGCTCCTTTCCGAATCGCAAATTGATTGCATCCAAATTGAGGAGCAAAACACATTTACATCTTAAGTGACTCCTAAGAGTTCTAATAGACCCCCTGAACGGCAGAAAGTAACTCCCTCAATTTTGCGACCAAAGAGGAATCTTGAGAAATTTTGGGCGGGGGCGAAGCCCCCCCTCCTCAGAGAGTTACTTTCTGCCGTTCAGGGGGTCTATTAGAACTCTTAGGAGTCACTTAAGATGTAAATGTGTTTTGCTCCTCCATTTGGATGCAATCAATTTGCGATTCGGAAAGGAGCCCCGATTTTTAAAATTGGGCCCCCCCGTTTACCTCCCAAGAGGGGCTAGAGGAGCTTCGGGACCATGAAATTTGGATTTCTCGTGGTCAATTACCTGGGAAACTGTATTTTTCTGGAGAATCTACGTCAATTTTGAGACCAAAGAGAAATTATGGAGGAGGATACTGCCCCCCTCTTTAGGGGGTCATTTTTGGGCCTTGGATGGTCCGATTTTGGATTTTTAGGGGTCGATTCCACGTGAAATTTTCCGTGCTTTTCAATTCTGATGCGATCTATCCGCAAATCGGTCGGAAGCAGTGACTTTGAGCATCGTGACCCCCCCTTAACCCCCCAAGGGAGGGTGGGGGGGTTTCCGGACTACGAAATTCGGATTCCTTGGGGTCAATTCCCTATTCATCCCCGCGGTCTCCTACTTCGTGCGACCTATACCAACCGAGAAAAAGGCCTGGTACGGGTGGTCTGAAACACCCTGTATTACAGCTCTTAGCGCGTACAAAATCTGTGGCAAGAATTTCTCCCCCCGCGCGACGTGCTGCGCAGGCCTACCGACCGCTCACTGCAACGGCAGCCTCCCTCCCCCCCCTGGCGCCGCGACGCCCGTCCTCCACCTGCTACCCCACCACCCGCACCCTGTATCGCGCCGCCCTCTTCAGCTTCTAGAACACTACGCAGCCGCGGCCAGTGGTTTCTTTCCATCTCTCTCTTCAGTCAGCCGGTACTGGCTGCAGTGCCAAGCTCTCCTTTCGTCCTCTCAAAACTTTCTAGAATTTTCCTAGACATAAGGAGGGCGTCACATGGTAAAAAGTAGTAACTGTTTCTGGAACTGTCTAGAACTCTCGAATTTTCATTATTCAGGTGACCGTTAGTAAAACCATGACCCTTATTAATCCTCTTCAGAACTTCATAGAATTTTCTCGGACTTTCGTAAAATGTCATGACTGACAATAGGTTTTCTCGAATTTTTTCGAACTCTCTCAAATTTTCTCCAGGCGATGTGGAATTAAATTGATGCCCTCCCCCTGTCCTTTCCATAGCTTTCTAGAATATTCTTGGACTTTTAGAAGTGTTGCAAGACAACGAGTGGCATTTGTTTTCAGAACTTTCTTGAATGTAATCAAAGTGGTAGTGACAGGAATGTGGCTCGCTTTACAGAGCAAGCACGCTTAGAACGGCTATTATCAATAATTCTTGTTTTATTTCGATTTATCCTGGTTTATGCAGATCTCTCCTGTTTTATCCATATGTATCCTGATTTATTCCCATCTAAGCCGATTAATCCCGTTTTATCCTGATTTTTCCCGATTATTCTCGTTCTATTCCAATTTATCCCCTTTTACATAGTTGTCCTCTACTTGATCTCGAATTACCCTGTTTCATTCACATGCATTCAGTTGTATCCTGAGCCAAAGACTAATAAGATCACACATTTTTCATTTGACACCACTCGTAAAGGACCCCGTATGGATGAATTGAATTACCTTTATTCATTTTTTTGGCAATTTGACGTAATATTTTTAAAAATGTTTTTCTGCACTCTTCACATTCATGTAAATGATTTTGCGTCAAAGAAAAACAACATATAGATAAATAAGTAAATAAATTACCGCTATGCTATCGTAAACATCGAAAACCCAAATTTGAATTTTCAAAGAAATGGCAACCATTCTTAGTATTTATCCTCGTAATTTGGTACAAGGAAGTCAAAACTGAAAAATTAATATTCATTTGATAGCAGATTTTCATATTCTCTAAAATCAATAAGAGGAGTTTTTTTCATTGGGTACATCAGAATAGTATAAAATTTAAAAAAAAAAAAAAAAAAAAAAAAAAAAAAAAAAAAAAAAAAAAAAAAAAAAAAAAAAAACGCCAATGATGTCAGTGAGTAATTTTTGGATAATTGTAAACGGCAGACATTTTGTGTCTTGCAATTTTGAGAGGATTCAGGAAAGGGGCTAATGGCTAACTTTGGTTTGAGAACTGTAGGTAAATCTTGAATTGATTTATCCCTCATAAGGAATTTGTGATTGTTTGATCCATTTATGACCATATTTCTTGGACTTGAGTATTTTCCTCCTTGTATCCATAATTCTATTGTGTCTACTCTAGGAACCAGAAGAATATGTAACAAATCGCAGACTGACTCGTCGCCAAAATGCATTGCTGAAGAAAATGGAAGAGTCAAGCTCTACCTCTCTGGCTGTTCATTCCCCAGTGACAAGGTACAGTAACTGTTATTACTTTTCAATAATTCTAGTAGCGTGTGGGGTCCATTCCCTGTTGCATGAGCATCTCAGAGAGAAAATTGTGATACAAATTTTAATTATGCCATAAGAAATAGCAATTTTTGCGGTTTGACCACCTCTTTCCCCAAGTCCTAACTCCTCAGCAGATACGGACACACGACTTGCTAGGTAGTCTGAACGATTTATCCTACGTTTTGGTGGCATGAGCGCTTTTTTCATCTTTTCTCTTAACAAGAGAAAGGGTACCTATTAAGGCGGAGCGCGAACACTGACTTGTTGCGGCACCCGGGCTCACCCTGGTTTTTAGTTGCCAAGTGGGCTATAAATACGTTCCCAAAAATGTGGGATCCCAAAACCACCCTCAAATTCTTGCGCCATGGTCTAAAGAGTTACAATTTGAGACATTGAATTTTGAAGATGGAAAAGTATCAATTCAGATTGAAACAAAGAAGTTGTCGTACGCAGCGCGAAAATTTCGTCTCTTCGCCGTATATCGAACGAAAAAAGCGTGAACATCCTTCCTTGAGCGCGCATCAACCCCCTAAGAGCGCCGCGCCGTCGCGCGCTGCGACGCTCAACTCACATTTTTGGCTGCGAAACAGGGGCCTATACATAACTCCAGAGCCCAGAATAACCAAAATTCGCGTTTTTCGCGGTTCAACCTCAAAGGACTATGCACGGTTCTTATGGAAAATTGCCCTCGGTCAAATGCGTTGAAACTTCAGTATGTTGTGCAGCATGTCATCATGAACAAAAGTTCCAGGAGGCCAAACAAGATCCCATGTGCGGTTTTCGAGATATTCGCCGTTTTATGTGCGTAAACGAAGCTGAGAACGGTTTCGCGCGCTCCCGCCGGAAGCCATACCATTGTGCGGCGCCGCTCGTGCCCTTCCCTCCCAGTCACTCTCCGCTGCCCCGCCGCCCATACCTTGGCTCCTCTATCGCTCCAACTACGACGCTCACGAGGCTGCGCCCATCATTACCGGACCGCGTCCGCACGCCGTCTCCTTACGCGGCCTCCTCTTCGGCCATGTCGCCTCTTTTTCTCATCGATCCTTTCTCTAAGTCTTCAAAAACGTTTAAGAAGTCCAATTATACTAAACATGAAAATGCTAATAACACAAATGATACAAAAAGAGAGGAAAAACAAATGATAATCCATGCGAAAGTACGTAGGAGAGTTGAAATGCCTAGGAGACGTTAAATAAAACAAACTTTTTTTTATTTTCTTCCCTCTTCCTTTCTTTCTTTTTTTTTCTTCATTTTTCTCATGTGGAAGCAGTGAAAGTAACTTCTGTTGGAAGATGATGTTGATGTTTTTTCTTTTTTTTTTCTTTCTTTCAATAATGACGTGGCGGAGGTTGAAGGTAATTAGTCGGCTGACAATGCCCAAGTGGGAATTAAGTTTGCTTTAGTCTTGACTTAGCTGAACCGCACCAATGGAGGAGGAGAGAGGGATCATTAATAACTGAACTCAAGGAAGAGAGATGTCCATTTAGGCGTAAATGGTCACATTTTAAGTCGCTCCAACTTGCAGCACCACCTTATCAGCCATCTTATTATCTGCTGATCGTATCCTCTAATCAGATCGTACATCCAAGACCAACTCCATATAGAGATGATGAAAAAGAGTTGCAGGTCGACCGTAACATTCATGCGCGTACGCGGCGTTTTGTGAGTACGAGTTTTCTCCAGGTTCCATAAAAAAGAAATTAAAGATGCGGCTGGAAGACCATTGCAAGAAAATCCCTAAGTAACTTTCGAAGGTCGAGGGTTCTGATCGCTGCTCGTAAACTCGTACTCGCAAAAAAGCCGCGTACGCGCATGAATGTTACGATCGACCTGCAACTCTTTTTCTTTATCTCTTTGGAGTTCGTCTTGGATGTATAATCTGATTAGAGGATACGATCAGCAGATAATAAGATGGCTGATAAGGTGGTGCTGCAAGTTGGAGCGACTTAAAATGTGACCATTTACGCCTAAATGGACATCTCTCTTCCTAGAGTTCAGTTATCAATGATCCCATTGGTGCGGTTCAGCTAAGTCAAGACTAAAGCAAACTGAATTCCTACTTGGGCATTGTCAGCCGACTAATTACCTTCAACCTCCGCCACGTCATTATTGAAAGAAAGAAAAAAAAAAAGAAAAACATCAACATCATCTTCCAACAGAAGTTACTTTCACTGCTTCCACATGAGAAATATGAAGAAAAAAAAGAAAGAAAGGAAGAGGGAAGAAAATAAAAAAAAGTTTGTTTTATTTAACGTCTCCTAGGCATTTCAACTCTCCTACGTACTTTCGCATGGATTATCATTTGTTTTTCCTCTCTTTTTGTATTATTTGTGTTATTAGCATTATCATGTTTAGTAAAAATGAACTTCTTAAACGTTTTTGAAGACTTAGAGAAAGGATCGATGAGAAAAAGAGGCGACATGGCCGAAGAAGAGGCCGCGTAAGAAGACGGCGTGCGGGCGCGGTCCGGTAATGATGGGCGCAGCCTCGTGAGCGTCGTAGTTGGAGCGATAGAGGAGCCAAGGTATGGGCGGCGGGGCAGCGGAGAGTGACTGGGAGGGAAGGGCACGAGCGGCGCCGCACAATGGTATGGCTTCCGGCGGGAGCGCGCGAAACCGTTCTCAGCTTCGTTTACGCACATAAAACGGCGAATATCTCGAAAACTGCACATGGGATCTTGTTTGGCCTCCTGGAACTTTTGTTCATGATGACATGCTGCACAACATACTGAAGTTTCAACGCATTTGACCGAGGGCAATTTTCCATAAGAACCGTGCATAGTCCTTTCAACCTAGGCCCAAGAGGGTGGGTCACGAGCCTCGAATATGATGTCAGGGACATGTAGACACGTAATATACTTAAATATGATTAACCATTTCCTTTAGGTCCCAGTTCAAAATCGTAATTTTCTAACTTTTTATCCCAAAAATGCTGACGATTGGCAACTGCGCTCTCAAGACGTGAAGTTGTGTTTTGCTCGGCTCCAGTTAATCAACCGCAAAACCCTGTTTTAAGTGACTTTTAAAACCAGTGTTTGGCATCAATCGATGCAATTTGGAAAGGAGCTTCCTCCTTTAGACCTTTATGAACCTTTTCTGTCCCTGGGGACCCAGTTTTGTGTCGTGTTTAAGTTCTGTGAAGTGGCCTAAAGTGTCGTGCAATCGAAAGATTTGCCAGCTTGGGCCACTCAAGCACGACTTTACTGTTTTTGCGCATGCGCTCTTGAGCAGAAATTCGGCAACAATGGACTGATTACAATCTGAGCTAGAGATTGTCACCGTGATTAATAATCCCACATACTTTGAGCAACACCTCAGAGCATCAACGCGGCGCACGTCGCGCCGAACCGCTGACAACAGTAACAGTAGTCCTGCTGATTGTGAGCTCGCCTACGCCTTATCGCCGAAATGAAGCCCTGTATCCAACATGACCGGGTTCATTGCGAACAGTGCAAATGCGCTGTTCATAACGTCATGGACTGCCATAAAACCGACTGCATTAGGGAATAACATAACTCCCTAAGTGCTCCTAAGATTCTGGATAAGAAAAAAACCAAGGAGAAAACGGAACCCACAAGGACCTGTACTCCCATTCCTGATAACTCTGAAACCCCCGCGTCCCAATCACAGAGTAACCCTACCTTGATTGAGAATGAAAATAAAAGTTCAAACAATGATGGCACTGATAAAAAAGATGACAAGATGGACTACACCGAAGCATCCCTGAAAAGAACCAGAAACGAACATCTGAACTCCTCTAGCAGCGACATTGAATCCCATAAGGGAAACATTGGAAACAAAAAGCCAGCACTAGAAACTACCACCCTTCCCGAAAAACCTAATGTCGGGAAACAAAAGGAAGTTGACAAAACTGATGCAAATAAAACCGACTCTGACTCCGATGATGGTTTCCTGGTACCCAAGAGCTCAATTGTACTCACGAAAAAGGCCACAAAAAACAGCACAAGAGGAAGAAGCAAAAGCCTTTCATCACATCTAGCCTCCACATCTAAAAACAGAAGTGTTTCAGGAACCAGAAACACCAAGAACCCAACGAAGAAGAAAGAAGAAACCCAGGATCATGAACCCAAAATGAATGAGACCGACCAAAATGCTGAAAAATCCGCTGACGAAACAAAACTCCCGGAAATTACCATTGAATCTCTTTTTGGAAACATTGTTACCCCCAGTGAATTTTCTTGGCCAATTTTACAAGAGATGTTATTAGCATTAAGAAAATCCATTGTAACTAATGATAATCATTTTAAAGATCAAATTGACTTTTGGAAAAACAAATATGAAAAAGCCCAAACAGAATTAGTATCCTTAAGATCAAAATTTGAAGAACATATATCAGAGTTCAATAACAAATTAACAAATGTTCAACAAACCGTTAGCAAATTAGATAAGAAAAGTAATGACTTCCCTGCACTGAATGAAAAATTAAGTTACAGTGAACAGCTCAAGAAAAACAAGCAAAATCTTACTTGTGGAGTTGTCAATAGAGTCTCCAAAGAAGTCACTATACTTTTAGAATCTAGTGTTTCTGGGAAAACTGTGAATTAACAACAATTATTTGAAACGATTCACAAGGAAATCCCACCCAACCTAGGGAAATTTTTTTCGTTAAAATTGAATAAGGACAAGGACTTTGTAATTAGAGCTAAGACTGATGATAGAGGAAAATTAGAAAGTGCGCTGAAAAATTGCCTTAAATCCAAATCAGTAAATGTTAGAGCCACTTATCCATCAGAAGCTGTTAGTTTTGGTCCAATTCCAGCCAACATGTCCGAATCCCAAGTTCTTAAGGAAATTCACGCCGAACTCAATAACAAGTACACTCTCGAAAATATTCAAGGGAAAACACACATTTTCCGAACCATTAAATTAAGGAATAATTACAGTACCCCCAAAAATATAATGTACATGAGAATTGAATCACCCCTGCTCGAAGATGTCTTAATT